GAGTCAACTTGGAAATCCCCTCTGTCTCATCATTGGGGAGACAGGGTCTTAGAGTGATCTCACCCAATCTGAAACGTCCATGTGGTGCGTGAGATTAGCATGAGTGAGTGAGAAGCAGTGACTAGGGAGGCAGAGGGAGGAGGGGACAGGAGGGGAGTCATGGGCAGGAAACCAAGAACACATCAGACACTCTATATTTAGATCTTTTCATTCAGCTCGGGACAATATTCCTTGATTTCTTATTGTTCAGGAGAGGGCAGAGGGCAGGAGATCTATTGAAACGCTTTGTCCTGAGAGATGCCACTTTGTCTGGGCACACTAGGGGTGGAGGAGGAGTGTATTAGACCAGTCAAGTGTGTGCGTATGGGTGGTGGGCGTCTTGTTAGTCAGAGTCCTGGGTCGGTTAGGTTGCAGTCTTTGTAGGTAACCCTGTCCCTGAGCAACCATGACAGGGGGAGCCCACTTTATGGAATTGGGAGGCTCCTCCCTAGCTTGCTCCTGTGGCCATATGGCTGAGGGCAGTCGAAACTTGGGGGCATCCGAACCCCAAGCCTCCAGGCTTCGGCCTGCATGTAGGATGCCTGCCAAAAGACTTTGAAAATATCTGAAGCCCCTCATGGGGGTGGAGGACGTTTGCCAGTTGTAGGGCCACTTATGGATGTAGACTGATTCACAGATTGGGACTTGATTTGGCTTGGAACACGAAAAATTTCTTAAAATAAAAGAAAAAGGTTCTGGACCTGGCACACTTCTCTGTTTCATCTCTCTGGGCATGGTGTGTTCCAGGTGGGTGACTGTGAATTGTTACCTGCTGTGAGAAATGGGTAAGGGGAGTGGGGATTAATTTCAGGGATTCACGGGAGCTACCAGATTGGAGGTGGCAGGGAATGGAGGAAACCTGTGGGTGCCTATTTATTTTGGCAGAAATGTTAAGGAAAATATCAATTCAGAAAAGGATTTCAGGGATAGCCCCAAGAGGAGGGGAAGAACCTGAACTGGATCCCTGTGCCCCTGGTGTGGACTCTGGATACAATCCTGATATGCTGCAGTGTAAAGCTTCCTACTTCATTGGCATTCTTCCCTCTTATCATGTTCTGGAGGTAAAAGGTCTGATTGTATCTTGCTGGTGAGCTCCCTGCTTACTGCAGACCAGGCGCTCCACTGCCTTCCGCTTTGCCTTATGTGAGTCAGTGGAGAAATCTGATCCAATAGCACTCTACACCCACTTTGCATAGGGACAAATAAATGACACCAGTGGTGGATCCAAACATGGGTTTGTAGGACAAATATCCTGGTCCCTCAGTACAGTGCTCTTTTTCCTGCACTTCAGCTCAAAGCCTAGTTTTACTCCTTATTCCATATGCCACAAGTGAGCACCCCCACCCCTTCTCTTGCATCCTGCCATCCATACTCCTACTAGCCCCTGGGGGTGTCCATCCAGTTGGGGTTTGTCCAGCAGTCAGGGTGAAATGGGCTGTGGAAAGAGAGGGCAAGTGTTTGCCTTGCAACTAATAGCACAACAGGTGTTGGCAGCCTCAACTGAGTAGCGGAGGACTAAACAGGCTGTAGAAGGTAACCCACTGCCCTCTCTGTGCTGGAGAGCTTTCCTCTAGAGTAGTTTTGAGGCACACGGGCAGGGCACGGGATTTGGGGAGAGCTCGTGTTGCCAATGCCTATGCTCTGCTTCTCCTGCTGGTAAAGGAGGAAAGAGAACTTTTGGGCCCTTGATTTGATCTCAGCAACCCCCTGTAAATCCAAAGGCAGATCCCAAGGAATTTAGTGTCAAGGTTTTACCATAGCTCTTTTGCAGTTAGGGGAGTGCCTGCAGATTTAAATTAATGTAAATGAGATTAGGCCTGGAGGAGGACTGATTTCTCCTTAACTCACACAGGTGTAAATGAGAATCAAAATCAACAGAGTGACTAATCAGACCCTTGGGACAGAATTTCTATCTCTGCTGTAGCTCCAGTGGCTTTACTGGTATTATGCCAGAGAGGAGCCTGGCATTCAACCTTCAGGGCTATTAGCCATTTCCTTTGGCCCTATATGTATATCCATTGTATCCATAGTGCTCTATTTAGCTCTGTGAAACCAGTATGGGTTAGAGGGGAGAAGGTGAGAAGGGTGCTTGTTTTTAATTTAATTTTCAACCCTCATCTTTATTTCTCATCATGAGTCATGTTATCATGTTCTCAGGAGCTGAGTAACTGCCAGGGCTATTTTTACTCTTACTCAGCAGGCTTCCTTGTCTCTGCTGCTGCTAGATGGGAGAAGGACAGGAGTCTGGTGAGTTGGGGGAAGGGGAACCAGGGCTGGGATTGGGATCATTGGAAGAAGCAAAGGTAAATGCTCTCTCCTTCCCCCTCCTCTGTCCCCTCCCCCCTCCTCCACATCACCCAATTTGGAAATAAAAATAATATGCTTCTCTCCAACAACAACAGGATGAGCTGGGATGTATGTCGTGTATATAGGTAATTATTAGTATTTATTGTATTGGGGGGGGAGAAATTCCTTTCCAGTGCTATTCATCAGTCTGGAAAAATAAAGAAGGAAAGCAGAACATTTTTTCCTTCCATCAAAACAGGAAAGAAATGGGGAATGGACTGGGGAGGGGACACAGACACACAGCAAGCTGTTGCCAGGGTGAGGAGAGGGCCCCCTTCTACCCTAATCCTGGGGCTGAGGGGTGCTGGCATGTGCAGGGAGGGCTACACTCTCCCTGTCTCCTGCACAAATATACATGCACACAGAGGAAGCAGGTATACATTGGCCCTCACACTTCCCCTTACTCTGAGTTTCTCTTTCATTCATACACTCAGGGGTAGGCCCCCATCTTCTTGCTCCAGAATGTGTGGAGTGGGGGCGAAGGGTGGATGTGAAAGCGCCTTTGTTATCCCCTCTGTATCAAGATGTGTACATTGCCCCCTGGTTCTGTTGTATGCTTTCCCTTTTTTCACCCTCTCTCCTTCATTTAGTCTCTATCAGAGATACCTTAAGGCAAGGGAGAAGGAGGTTAATCAGCCCACAAGGGGCAGAGGAAATCCTGGCTTAAGTGGGTGATAGGCAAAGTGGGGATTCCCTGAGGTAGCCTGGCAGTTCATCACAGTACAGACTCCCTAAGCGGCATCCCTCTCTCTCTCTCTGCATGCTGTTGTTCTGTGAGGGTTTTATTTAATACCTGAGACCCCAGACACCCCTTCATTCTCCTAGTTCCTGGAGTTCAGCACAGAGATAGAAGATGCAAATCCTGAACACCTTTTGTTCTGTCCTTCAGTAATGTATTTATAAATGACAATGCTCCCCACCCTGTCTCTGTCTCCTTCCTTCATTTTCTCTTCCCCTTTCCTCGTTTCTTCCTCCTTTAGACTAAATTCAGCCTTCAGGAAGTAGGTGCAACTCCCATGGAAGTCTCTGGGCCAAATTACATAAATAGCAGTGTAAATCACATATTTGGGACCTCATTCTGGGCTCGCTTGTATTACGGTAAACCCGAAGCCAGCAGAGTTTAATGGGTATAACACTGATGTGAACTTGGACTTGGCCTCTGGCCTAAACTAATCATAAAACGTTATTTAAGGGAGACCAAATTCATTCTTAGCTATGGTTTGACTGAAGTCAGGGGAGTTACACCAGAGGCGAATCTGCCCATGTGCAATAGTAGTATATGACTGCCTGCTGTTTCTGTCCTAGTGACTCTTAACAAACCAAACTTTGCTAAAGTATCTTGAACCTGAATTAGGCTGTTTGTGCCCTTTGCTCCCCACCCACCATGTTCCAGTTTTGCCAGTGTCCTCACCTGCACCATTGCTAATGAGTACTGCTCCCCTGCAACAGCCTCTGCTTTCCCAGGCTGTGCTCCTCAGACAACTCTACCAATGCACCAAAGGCCTGGTCTTGCAGTCTTTGCAGTCCCGCTCAGCTCTACTGAGGCACCCCCCATCCTGACTTTCAGGCTCTGCTAACACTGTTGTTATTCAGCGATTGATTCTACCATTCAGACTCAGTATTGCTCTTCTTTCTCAGCTGAATTTTGCTTTCATTCCTAAAAACTGCTTGAAAAAGTTATTAGCACTCCTACTTTGCACATGTGGGCTACGTACAGACATTCCAAAAGCCCAAGGCAGAATCAATCTAAGGCATGCAGTTTTCTGCAAGCAATGTAGTTTAGATCAGTAGTGACCAGGACACACATCTGCCCTTTGTGGTGGGGGTGCAAATCTTAGATCAGGTTCTGCTATTTTTAAACCAGTCTACACATGGGCGACTGGTGCCTCCTGAGTCTGGGGGGGCAGCAGATCACTGACGGGGGCCCCCCCAGCAGCCGATCGCCAAGCCAGCGGCGAAACCAGAAGTGCACTTCTGGTTTTGCAGCTGGCACTTCCAGGGGGTGCACAGCCCATCTCAGGGGGTGCACATGCACCCATGTGCACCCCCTATGCACCGCCAATGAGTCTACGTGTGCTGAACTTCTGTTACCGGTTTCCGATCACTTATACCGGTAAACGTGTAATGTCTGCATCTGGCCTCGGTCTCTGGCTAGCAGAGGGGTTTTTTTTGGACAGTGTTTAAGTTGAAGGGTGAAAAGCCAAGTGATAGGGAATCTAGATTGTCTGCAGACATTTATTCACCTGTTAACCCAGCTCCCTATAATAAGACAATGAATGCCATGAGGATAATATAATTATTCACTGGTTAAAGGCAGGGAAAAACTTTTCTAATCAATCCTTCATTATTAAGATTCCAAGCTAGGAAACCCCAAGGGGCTCCTGTCCCTTCAGGTTTGTGGTCTGTGTAATGGGATCCCTTGAGCCATTCTGAGGCTATGACATTGCCTCATCAAGCCATGATGCTGTATGATGATGTTTTGGCTCGCTATCATTATAGCACAACCAAACCTCATCCCTGCTGCCATACAATAAGCAATGACAGTGCAGCAGCAAAACACTGTGACGTGATGATACAGCAAAATTACATTACTACAGACCTGAAGACCCCATTTCAGAGAGGCACTGAAAGAAAGGACACAGAACCAGCCATAAGCATAGCTAGCTTAAGCTTAAGCATAAGCAGCTCTGTGGAGCTGAATGATATTGAGTTCAGTGGAGTGGTACCCATTTGCGTTGAATCTGAATTTGCTCTAATACTTTTAAAAGATTTTTTTCATAAGAGAAAAATCTCTTCCTGTTTCAAAAACAGAAAGAGTAAAGGAAAAGTGTCTGAAATCCTACTCACTCTAAATCCTGCTTTGCTCTATTTCCAGCTGGGGTCATAGGTAGATGAGTAGTCAAGTTACAAACATCCTCTTCCTTGTCCACAGGCTTCAATGGGGACTAGCTATGTTTTTTTCTGATGCTGAGCTTCTAAAAATTGCCCAGCATCATCCACATCAAAATAAATAACTGTATTTCCATCCAAGCACATACATAATTGAGCCGGAAATAGAAAAGCAGACTCTAACCTCATCTGGCATTTCCCACTGTCACCCAGCAAAACTGTAGGACCCTCTGCTACAATAGTTCTGATCCCCACTCACCTTGACTGATGCATCTCATTGCTGATCAGCTAAAATAACCCTCCCATACATGTACTGCTCCAGTCCTAAGCAAATAAAGACTGCCAGCAGGGTTTATGGGCTAGGTCCCCAGCTGGGGTAATTCAGCCTAACTTGGTTGAAGTCAGTGGAGCTAGTTTAGCATAGTTGCAGATCTGACTCTATATGGACATGTTGTGATGATGGTTGATGTGGTGTGGCCCAGGCTAAGATGGATCGTGCCCAAAGAATGAAGGAATCAGAAATGCCAAGTGTCTCTGTGTATGTGAGGATGTGTAACTAAAGCAATTGGAGGGATTAAGGGGAAGGTTCTTCAAGATCTGTGACAGTTTGGGGAGGTGGAAATACATGGGAGACTAACATCAAATAACTGCTTCCCAACGCTTCTGTTCAGCAGTTAGAACAGAATCTGCCATCTCAGTTTTGGGGGTGGAGGAGGTGGTTCTTAAACCAATGTCAAGCCTTTTCCCTCCTCCTCCATGCCTGGGGATGGTTCCCCAGTGGTTGTAACTGCATAGCTCTGCTGACTTTAAACCAGAGAGAGACTGGCTTCTTGATTCAGAATTAAAGCAGCAAAAGCACCTCCCTTCGTCTAGCCTGCCTATGTGACTGTCAGATTTTCTGTGAGTTGTTGCATTTTTATCTGCTGCAGGGAGCAGAGGAGGTGGTTGGGTGATTATTAGAGAGGTGAGCACTGTAGAAATGAGCCTGGTTCTGTTTTTATGTACCCCAGTGTAGCATGAAGGGGATCCAAATCAGGCCCACTGGGTACAAAAAAGCTAAGCTGAGAGGTGTTGTGATGACCACCAAGTCATACTGCATAAGGGTCATACCAGGCTGGCTGTTGCTTGGAGAGAAGATCCCAGGACACATCAGGAATTGCATTCTAATTCAGTGAATTGAGTTTTAACAATTACAGTTATGTGCATACCATCACTGAAGAAAGCAGGGGTGGTGCCTGTGAGCTTTCACTGCACCACCAGGGTCCTGCTCTCTGCTATGTGAAGTGCCTGCACATCCCTTGGGTATTAAAACTGAAATAATGTTTCTGCTGGAGAAATTCCAGAAGAAACAGGCACTTGGCTCAAAACAGGTGCATCTCTGATTTTGTGTCAGAGAGAAAAGAGCATGGGGCAGTGTGGGCAGGTCTGTGGGTGATGGACTGTGTATAGCATATGGAAACATATGAGGGTTGTATGAGAAGAGGTGACCGTGTATGTCAGTGACAAAACATAGGTGTCTGTGGTTATATGAGTGCAATGAGTTTGCTTATCATTGTGGAGGTGTGTGATCTTTGCATCAGATTAGGTTAATTGAAGGAAAGAGCAAACTTGTGTATATGAAGGCATGTCAGTATCTATGGTTATATGCACAGGAGAGTGCATGGGGGGGTGTGAAGTGCAAAAAACACCCTATGACTGTGCATGATGTGTCTGTTGTCAACAGCATGTTGTTATGTGTATGAAGAGAACACCTCTGTGGACATGAGAAGGCATGTACAGGTACATTCTCTGGTAAGAGATGACTCTGTCTTGAGCTCACCTGTTAGCTAGTCCTCCTACTTGACCCTCTTTTTCTCAGCAAATATCTGCTTGCTTTATTTCCCCTTGGATGTTTATGACATTGGGGAGATAACTGTGTGGCAAAATACATTTTAGTGCCGGGAGCAACACAAATTCTGTTCTAACAACTCCTGAATGTTTCTTTTTGTGCATGTAAAGAGATCAAAGGTATTACAACCATATCTCCCTCCAGAGAAAGCAGGGTGGGGAAAATCACAAGTTAAGCTTAAAAAAGTGCTCAGGCAGCAGTGAAAGTCTTAGTCATGGGCCAAACATGACTTTGCTGGAATACCTCTCTCCTTATTTCTCGCCCCACCAATCCTGAAGGATTTTCTCTCTCCATTTCTTATTTGATATTAATTCTGTCTCTACATTCACATTCCCTGTGTTTCTTACTGAGGGTCTTTTTCATTTCGGTGAGTTCTGAATTGACTCACTAGAATATTTTTTTTCTTGCTTTTTGATACACAGCCAAGAGAGGAGTTGCTAACAGTCTCCACCCCTTCTCTTTCTTCTCCTTTAAAAGAAGGAACAGCTGAAAGGGTGGCACCTTATTCTCTCTCTCTCTCTTGCAGACTAAAATAAAGACCCACCAGCTCTTTCCCGGCTGCTCACTCTCCTCCCATTTGATTTTACCTTTTTTTTCTTGTTGCAACAGGGAGCAAGAGACAGCAGCAGCAGTGGCTCAGAGCTTGAGACTTATCGAGACTCAACACACACCCAGAGTCCAGCAAAAACATTTGCTCACCTGTTTGCAAAACCAAACCAGAGCTCACATTCAACCAAACTGCCAACAATATTTTGAAAGAAAAGGCACCAAAGACCAGAAGTTCAAACTTAGACAGAAAAAACAATCAACAACAGCATTTCTTTAAAAATAAATATACCAGAAGAAGAAAAAGATTATAGGGAAAAAAGTAAAAATTTAGGAAGACTTTGTTACCTGATTTTGTATAAAACTTTGGAAAAGTTTTCTGTTGGGAGAGGAATTAGTGAATTTGTTTTTGATATTTGGAAAATATGGCAAATAATTTTTACCTTCTTGTTTAAGACTTTTTTTTTTTTTTAAAGAAAAAGGAAATTGAGAAGGAAAAAGCAAGCTGGTGGACCACCTGAGAAAAAGAAATGCAGAAAGATTTCTTTCACTAAGAGGGGATACAGACTGGATGCATACATTTTTGGGGGTCTGCATTCATTTTTTATTTATGCTCTGCTCCTATACTCCTTCTGGTTTACGAGACAGAAAAAAGGACAGACAACTCATACAGAATTATTTTTTTTAGAGGAAAAAGGGGGGTTTCTTTTTAACCCTTTCCTCCCCACTTCAAGATTGTGGAAAATAAAGTGTGGAAATGAGAGTGTGCAGAGCCTTCTATGCATGAGGCAAGGCTGGAACTAGATTGTCAGCGGAGACTGATTTCTTGTCAAGTCTCCCCTTCAATGTGTCTGGAACTCTTGGGGATAGGAGTCGGTATGAATTTCGGGGTGCTCTTCGTGTGTCTCTGGTACCTGCCTCTCATCAGCACTGAGGTGAGTAAAGACCCGTTTTCTTTTATGAGGGAGACGAATCCATATCTTGTAAACTTTAGACCCAGCATTAAGATTACAGAGAGGAGAGAGAAGGAGAACTCCTTTTAGCTTGTTTCTCTGACAGGTTTCATTGTGTCTCTGAACACTTGTGCGTTTATGGTTATTTTAATTCACTTCTCTTAGCTTTTAGGAGGCAAGCAAACAAATAAGGGGGAATTCATATTTTGAATAAGCAACACCCTGACAGGTAAAGGGCAATGGGAGGGGGTGGAAGAACTCAGTGTTGACTCCAGGGTATATTCCCCATCCCCACCCATTGTGGACAAGTGGGGCAGTTGTGGCTTTTCAATCTCTTTGGCATTTATGAGTTTTGCTCTTTAAACTAAATGAACCTGAGTCAGATTGTTTTTCTCTGCAGTGCTTCACCACTGCCCCTTGCCCTTGTAGCTAATGAATTGCCACCTTGAGGCTTAGGGCTACCTGCTTGTACCTTCCCACAGTATCTCCTCCCACCACACCCCAACCAAAAAAATGCAATCCAAGGGAATCTCAGGGTGTATCTGTGCATGCAAGTAGCAGGGAGAAGGATCGCAGAGCCTGGGTTTTGCCAGAATTAAAGCAAGGCTGAAACTATCTGGTAGTTTAAGAGGGGACCTCAACAACCTGTTGCGTGGAGGGAGGGGTACTGAAGGCTGAATGAAAGGAGCCTGCAGTATGTCTTGGGAGCTGCTGGAGATGGAGTGAATGGAAAAGCTCTGGTAGCTCAAGATTGATGGTTTTCCCCATGATGGGAGGTCAGGCTGAATGGAAGCTGGGAGCTCCAGGAGTCCTTGCAGTGCAATACCAGCCCTGGCTGCAGCAGTGTGCTCTCCAGCTGGTCTGGGCCATGAGCTGCAGCAACGTCCTCATATCAGTTCTGAACAAATGCCCAAGAGGGAAGCAGAAGGGAAGATTGCAGGGATTTGCAGAGACTGGAGAGAGATTTTTTTTTTTGGAAGGTGGGGTTCTTAAAGGGCCAAAGTCCTTTCTTTTGCTTTCCTAGTTCTATTTTTTTCCAAGAGGTTTGTGTATATAACCTTGCCCTGCATACCTGTGGGAGCTGGACTCTGATCTCGCTTGTACCAGTTTTACCCCAGTCTAACTCAGTTGGGACAGACCCTTAACTCTATCTCATAGGAGCAGGGGAAGGGGGCCATCTTCATTCATTTTAACAGCACTAAGTTGACTCACATGAGCTGAGGGTCTGGCTTATTGCCTGTGGTGGAGTTAGTTCTGTCCAGTGTCAGTATAAGAGGGAAATCAGACCATGTGCATGTCACTGTGTGGGTGGCTTGTGTGTTTTTGTGCTGTGCGAGAAAGACAGCACCTCTGAAGGGGCAGGACAAAGGGAGAAAGGTGGGAGAAAGGCAGCAGGGTGGCTGGAAATGTATAGCTGCAGGGGAGGATCATTAGAAAGGGTCTGTAGGAATCAAGCCGGATCTGTGGTGCCCTTCATTCGGGTGAGCTGGCAGCAGCAAAGCATTTCAGTCTGGGAGAGGCAGGGAAAGGAGGAGGAGCAGGGCTGGAGGAGGACTGCCATTCTGTTCCCAGCATTTATTTCCCAGACAACTCAGAACAAGATCCATCTGAGTACAGACACAAGCAGCATGCTAAAGTACAACCCTCCTAGTATATCAAAGAGGGTAGAGGCAGAGTGGCAAAGGGTGAGAGCTAGGAGAGAGTTAATCTAGAGGTGAGCCTGGCAGAGAGGGAAAGCTGGGAGCTGGGCTGCAGCCAACACAGGTTGTTTTGACCAGGAACCTGTGGAAAGAATTCTTCTTTTGTTCTCCCTGCTCTTATGAGTTGTCCTGCAGATTTCACTGCCCTGCCAGTGGAGGGACACCCCCTGTTCCCTCCACTCCAGTGCCTCACCTACCTAGGAGGAAGGGCTGGCACACTTTGGGCCCCACCCTTTCAACAGCTGCAATCTCTCTCCTTGCAGCCAAACCAAAATAAAACCAAGGGAGAGGAGGGGCTTCCCCAGGGGATGATCATCCTGGGAAAAAAATATCAGCAATCCATCCAAGATCTCTGCCAGAAGTTTCCTATCCACCTTCTCTCCCCCCCTGAACTGCTGCAGGATTTCCCACCACAGCACTGTTTCTTTCCCTTTAATGATGGGAATTCAGCCTTACATGCCTGGTACCTCCCGCACAGAACTGATACAGCTGGAATGGGGGAGAGGTGACACCCATCAGGCTGGGCATTTGCATAGCACTTCACATTTTTTAGGAGAATTGCACAAGGCTCAACCAGATAATCCTCATTGCTCCTGGTCAGCGAGTGCTGACCTCAATCTAGCAAAGGAACCAAAGTGCCCAAAGATAAAGGACAAAACCCTGGGTGTTACAAATTCCTACCTGGGCACCTCAGTCAAAGCGGCCAGATGTTTAGAGTCAGGGACACCAGAGACCTTCATGGGAGCCGTGGCACAGTCTGCTGTTGAAAACAAGTCTGCTTGTTGAAGTAACTGTGTAAAGCTTTAGGCGCAATTCAGTTTGAAAAAATTGGCACGTGATTTGCCCAAAAGCTACAGGGAGTCCAAATTAGGAACAGGTGTTTCCTGCATAGACCTCTCAGCACCAACTTTCTCTAGCAGCACTCAGGAGAAATCCCTTATTCCTTCAAGAAACATTGAGAATTTGCATCTTTGGGCTATGAGAAGCAAACTTTGCAGCTCCTCCTCTAACCTCACCAAAAAGAAAAATCCATGACAGAGAATTAGTGGGGGGTTTCAGAGGAAGTAGAGACCTAGCTAAAGCTGTCTTGGTTAACACATGGAAAGGGGGGAGTTTGCCTCTGTCACTGTACTACAGCATCCTGAGAAGGAACAAGATCTTTAGACCATGTCCCTGTCCTGCTGACAGCCGGCATGCAAGCACCCACATTCATGCAGGAATTACAAGCACCCACTAAGCAAGCTTCTCTCTATGTAACCATGCAGGCACCAGGCAGATACTCACCTGTATAAATCAACATATAAATAACACATGCATGCACCACACGTGTAATTACTACTATATTTGATTTCAGAGAGAATGCCAGGTGAGCCACTTTGCAGAAATGAATCAAGGCAGCCAGTCTTGCCCTGAAAAACATATAAACCAGATTCAGATGTGACACAACCAGGAGGGGCCTTCAATACAATAGAAAATAGAAACAGAAGGGGCAGGGGAATGGAAAGGAAGAACCAGTGTAACAGCACTGAAATTGTGCAGTTACGCAGCAAGGCCCATGCACATCTGGATGGATCTGCTGAGTCAGGCTAGACTCCCCATGCTCCGTTTAGACACATTCAGGCAAACACGTCACCTGGCTCCTGGAGCATATGCACCCCCACAGAGACACACATAAAGCAAACCCCTCCTAACCCTGAAACCACCCACACAGACAGCTTTGGAGGGAACC